ACGCTACGTAAGGAACAACTCAAGATAACCTCTCAAGATAGCCACAAAGGAACACGTTACGTAAGGAACATAGTAACAATTAGAGAGATTAAGTGATCTTGTGTTTCTTTACTATCTATATGGTAGAAGGTATTTACGTAGAACGGAAAATATCCTTAAGAAAATTAGTAATTTAATTGATAAATTTTCTTGTGAATTTTTGAATTGTTGAAGCTTCATGGAGACTGTTTTTATTTAATTCAAAAAATTTTAATTGATGCAGCAATTTTCACTTAATATCTACATGTAGAATTTTTACCAACTTGCAAAAAAAAAATATATAATCAAACACACATTAATTACATAATGAGGACAAATCTACGTTTACCGAAGTGCAACTCGCCAATATTTTAACATAAATTTAGCTGACGTATATAACATAGTTAACAAGGACAAACATCGCCCCTCCAAGTTACAAAGCCAGTTGAACGAGTTGGCATAATTGTTGAGCAATTTCTCCGAACACAATTGTGAGTGCGAATTTGCATTTAGTTATTAAGCGAATTTTACGAGGAACTTAGATCATATAATTTTCAGATTGCTTACAAGTTTTTCGTTTTTGTCCACATACACTGCAGTGTCCTGTGTCCTGGCTATGTGTCCTGGCCACGTGTCCTGGCCACGTGTCCTGGCCATGTAAACAACTTATTACAATACTGAGATGATTGTAATGTGATAAAATAAATGTTATTGCTTCTAAAGTAAGAATTAGAATTAGAAACCTTACATGTAATAAGTTATTCAAATCGAAACAACAATGGCTGGACTTAACAGCAGTTTAAATCAGACTTACAGTTTTGACAGAAACTGAGTACCATTTAGCTTACAAATTTACAAGGTGATATAATATATATATATATATATATATATATATATATATATATATATATATATATATATATATATATATATATATATATATATATATATGGCACAACTCTCCTAAACACGAGAGTGAAGTATACAACTTTAGAACACTTTCCCACCAGGAGACTCGAACCCTAGCCAGCACAGAAGCCTTCCAGCAACTGGCATAGCAACCTCCAGCAACTGTTAAGGCGTACCTGTTATGCCAGTTGCTGGAAGGCTTCTGTGCTGGCTAGGGTTCGAGTCTCCTGGTGGGAAAGTGTTCTAAAGTTGTATACTTCACTCTCGTGTTTAGGAGAGTTGTGCCATATATATATATATATATATATATATATATATATATATATATATATATATATATATATATATATATATATATAATATATATATATATATAACTGAAAACTCACACCCCAGAAGTGACTCGAACCCATACTCCCACAACTGGTATGTACAGGGACGCCTTAATCCGCTTGACAATCACGACCGGACAAAAGGAAGTGATAGCCGAGGCTATATGAACCACTTCATATAGCCAATTAAGGCGTCCCTGTACATACCAGTTGTGGGAGTATGGGTTCGAGTCACTTCTGGGGTGTGAGTTTTCAGTTGTATATAGTCCTGGGGACCATTCAGGCTTGTTTGCATATATATATATATATATATAAACCCTTCTGAAGATGTATTATTAAATACGAAAGTACTTAAGGAAATTACTGTTTCAATTCTTCCTTCGTGGTCTGACAGCATTTTAATGCTGTCAGCGTGTCACAACAGCATTTTGATTATTAACCATAGTCAAAATGATGTTGTGTTTAATTAGGAGTGTGTTGATACTTTGGTGGGACTCACAATATATAAACTAATTATTCCACAAAGTTATATAAATGTGAACATTCTCAGCATTCCGACATCAGAAGATTCAGGGGGTTGTCCAAGATCAAAATACTTATCCATAGAGCTCCTGCAACATCAGACTTCTGACTTCAGCCTGATTCAGAATGCCTGTCAGTCTGTCCCGTTCTGATCACGGTATAGTTCCCTCAAGCTTACAGTTATACAGTTGGTGGAGGAGACGGGGGCTCACAGCTCTGTTGATCAGATTTAGTCTCTCTTGCAGTGTTGCTACGTCGGTATCCGCTTGACTTATTCTTAAAGTTGCATGTTTTTGACACTCAAGTTGATAGTTATGTTAAAGTTGGTGGTAAATACGCGAGTGTCCCCCTGGTGTGTTACTCTGAGTGACGGTCCCCTGGTGTGTTACTCTGAGTGACGGTCCCCTGGTGTGTTACTCTGAGTGACGGTCCCCTGATGTGTACTCAAGGACAATAACCCACGTATCCTGGGTAAGTTGTGAGAGTGCATGCATCTAGGCAGCAGCAGCAGCAAGCAGGCAAGCAGGCAAGCAAGCAGCCCAGACACCAGCGTGCAGGCAAATACCACCACTACCTTAAGACTCTCCAAGGTCGAGCAGTGGCGTGGGGCTCCTCCTCCAGCAGCAGGTCCTCATGTACCCCCACGCCCCCCACACACACATAACCTGCCCACACCGTACCCAAAAATAGTTTCCACGCCCACAAAGCTCTCACTAACCAACGTTTCTATTTGCCTACATCACCTTTATGCAGGATCCCCTGCGCCCACTCCTTTGTGAATAGCCCCAGACGTCTAGTTCCATGATCTCATCTCCTCAGCGTGGTCGCTGCCACATCCAGCACGGGTCCTGCTGCGGGAAGACTGCCCGCCGCTCACACTGATTTCCATTGAATAAAGGGTCAGGTTAATATTTTAAAGTATTTAATATAAATAAATATTTATATATTTAAATATATAAATATTTAATATATTTAATTATTGAATACATTAATATATATTTCCCTCAGTATATATATATATATATATATATATATATATATATATATATATATATATATATATATACATATATATATATATATATATACATATATATATATATATACATATTATATATATATATATATATATATATATATATATATATATATATATATATATATATATATATATATATATATATATAAATTTTAGACACAAACACCCACCAGGGAACTTGAACCCTGGCCATCAAGATGGCAGGTACGCACTTATACCCACTACACCATACTCAGAACCCTAAAAGAAGTGGAAGTGCTGGGGTATTTAACTCCCAAACAACCCATCTTCTTCCAGGCAATGGTACAGTGAGGGGTAATTGACGTTTTCCATCAAGCCCTGTTATATGTGGGAGAACACGTAGTGTTCTACGTATACGTAGAACACGTGCACACTCATATATTACATATATACATATTATATATATGTATATGTATATGTATATATATATATGTATATATATATGTCGTACCTAGTAGCCAGAACACACTTCTCAGCCTACTATGCAAGGCCCGATTTGCCTAATAAGCCAAGTTTTCAAGAAATAATTGTTTTTCGACTACCTAACCTACCTAACCTAACCTAACCTAACTTTTTCGGCTACCTAACCGAACCTAGCCTATAGAGATAGGTTAGGTTAGGTAGGGTTGGTTAGGTTCGGTCAAATATCTACGTTAATTTTAATTCCAATAACAAAAAATTGACCTCATACATAATGAAATGGGTAGCTTTATCATTTCATAAGAAAAAAATTAGAGAAATTCTATTAATTCAGGAAAACTTGGCTTATTAAGCAAATCGGGCCTTGCATAGTAGGCTGAGAAGTGCGTTCTGGCTACTAGGTACGACATATTATATATATATATATATATATATATATATATATATATATATATATATATATATATATATATATATATATATATATATACACACACACACAACCTCTTGGGCTGGACAGTAGAGCGTCGGGTCCGTCTAATTACCCAAAACTATCCAAAGATACCCAAAGCTACTCTAAGCTAACCAAGGATATCCAAAGCCTCCTAGAATTGCATAAGTAATGAAGAACTATATAATATTTGCTATAATGTTGGTGCTGATTGTGCAACACTGAAAAAAAACATATTTTTACTCTAAAATGTTATAATTTTATAACGAAATCCAACGAAACTAAGTGGCAGGTGACGCCATAGGAAACCAACGAACCAAGCGACAATGTTGTGGCTTTGGGTAATTAGATGGACCTAATTTCGTTATAAAATTATATAATTTCAGAGTAAAAATATGTTTTTTGTGTGTTCTACATTCAGCACTAACATTATAGTGAGTGAATATTTCATAGTTATTCATTACGTACGTAATGCTAGGAAGCTTTGGGAAGATTTGGGTACCTTTGGGTTGCTTTGGATAGCTTTGGGTACCTTTAAGTAGCTTTGAGCAGCTTTGAGTACCTTTAAGTAGCTTTGGGTACCTTTAAGTAGCTTTGAGTAGCTTTGGATACCTTTAAGTAGCTTTGGGTACCTTTAAGTAGCTATGGGTAGCTTTGAGTAAGTTTGAGTAGCTTTGGTTAGCTTTGAGTAGCGTTGGGTACCTTCAAGTAGCTTTGAGTAGCTTCGGGTAGCTTTGGTTAATTAGACGGACACCAGAGGCCCATAATATATTCATTATTCTAACCCCACAGTCGCTCCCATAATCTCACTACCACTGGGGTTCACGCCCACACGCTCCTCCACACCAACACGTACCCGAGGAAACGTAAGGACAGACAGACACGCTGGTCAACAAGTAGCGTTCACTAAATGAAGAAAATACGGCAAAAAATGTATATTTACATCAGGAGATTTAACAGAGCACCAGGCACAAGAAAGGAGAGGCATTTAGAACTCCCCGTTGTCATTGACAGGGAAGCCCTCCCCCGTGCCCACACGGTTCAGGCCCACATGCCTCATGCCCACATGCCTCATGCCCACACGCCTCATGCCCACACGCTTCATGTCCTCTTGTATCTTGACCATGTTTCACACGTGTCCCACATGCTCACGTCTCTTCGTGCCCACACTTGAGAGTGGAGTAAGTCAGGGCAAGAAGGTGAGGCTGAAACTACGAGAAACACGAAAGCAATATACGGGGGTTGCGTGAAGCAAAGATTTGCGTCCCCGACACTTCGCGACGCGATCATGTGGCACGAGTGTGACGGCTCAGAGGACTCGTGGGAGGAGATAAGTAATGCGTTTAAAGAGCTGGGAAGAACACTAGTCAATAAACAGCAAAACTGAAGAGAGGTGCATACAGGTTGAACCTTTGTTTCGTCGTAGCCACTCCACACACACACACACACACACACACACACACACACACGCACACACACACACACACACACACACACACACGGTTGAGTGATGTGCGACAGTTAAGGTAATTATCTGGAGAAGGCACTAAGCCATTACGACTATATAGCACTTGGAAGGAATATGAAGATAAGGCTTTAGGATTGGAGGGAGGGAAGGAATGGTGTTCAACCATTTGGATGGTTGGAGATTGAACACTGATCAGCAAGAAGCAAGACCGTCGCTCTATTGTCCAGCCCAAGTGGGTGATGATACTCGACAATCTACATATATACAGATTTTCTAGCTCATTTACCGGGAACGATATCCACATACTAAAGAAATGATTCCCACCAATCTATACACATAAAATATTATTAGATTACTTTCTGAGCCATCAATAACTTCCAATGTCGTCCCCATACTCGAATGGACTTAAAAGTTTCAATAATGGGATTTATGATTTCTCTAACATGTCCAGTTGTTTTCAGTGCGCATCGTATGTGCATAGAGTAGTACACAAGAGGTGACATGATGCTGTAAAGTTAGATGCTGCATAAATACAACAAGAGTGGTGGACACCGGACATGCGAGTCTGTATCCCACCGCTGCCACCATTGTATCATTGGGTTTGCCGGCAAATAACAGTCCTCTTAGAAAGTGAATTGTGTACAATCATTATATATTCCCTGTATAGTGTGTGTGTGTGTGCCAGGCCAGCACTGATGGTCATGGATGCAAAGGTGGCTGACCTGAGAAGATCACAAAGGTGTGTAAGGTCAAGAGACTTGGAGTCGATGGGAGTCGTCTGTAAGACAATGGAAATACTGAAATAACCGAACCCTCCAGATTGTCATCAGCGAGTCAGCAACTATACCACAGTGACAAGTGTACCCCAAATTAGTGTGATTAAATGAATCCTGTGAAGCAGTTACATCAACATCCTGAAGTTAATTAATACCAGCGGGAAGCGGTTGTGCCGAGGAGTGTACTCTTGACTTGTTCAACGAGATAAAACGAGATTATTTTACGACAAAAAGATTATACTCTTTTTCATAACGCAAATCCCATCAAGGCCATCATTAACAAAAATTTCGTGGATAAACGTTAGCAAGTTACTATTGAACTAGACTTTAACATTTTTCATATGTCTTGTGTAGAGATTTTACATCAATTTCCAATACGACAATTGTGGGTTTGTATATTTTTGTCTAATCATATAATAGGGTGATATAGTTGGTGCCTCTGTGCACCTGCAGTAACCTCTGTACACCTGCACTAACCTCTGTGCACCTGCACTAACCTCTGTACACCTGCACTAACCTCTGTGCACTTGCACTAACCTCTGTACACCTGCACTAACCTCTGTGCACTTGCACTAACCTATGATAGTTAACACAAAGGTAAAGTAGGTGCAAAGGATATATTAATGTGACTTTCTTCCTATTTTTCTTGTTCCCTATTTGTGAATGGAATTCAAAATGCATAAGTTCAGAACTCTGGCTGAAATATGATTCAAGAAAGGTAAACCAAAGACATTAAAGATGTGAATTACAAACACTCCTTGGCCCACCATGGCCCTCCCTGGCCCACCATACCCCTCCCTGGCCCTCCCTGGCCCACCATGGCCCACCATGGCCCTCCCTGGCCCACCATACCCCTCCCTGGCCCACCATACCCCTCCCTGGCCCACCATGGCCATCCATGGCCCTCCCTGGCCCACCATGCCCCTCCCTAGCTCCCCCATACCCACCCAAGCCCCACAATCTATTCCAACCCCTCAAACAAACATCTCTCTCATTTCCCCTACTCTTTCCCCCCCCCCCCCCCTCACCCCCATGCTACCTCATCTCCCCTCCCCATCTACCTACCTCCCTCACTCTCTATCACCCCCCCCCTTTTCTTACCTCCCTTACATCCCTACCCTTACCTACCACATTTCCCAGTGATTTCCTCAATCCCCCTACCCATTATTTGCCTCATCCCCCCATCATCTCCACCCCACTCAAGCCTCCCCCAGACACCCCGGCCAGCTGGGGTGTGACCAGCCAGGCACAAGACTGACCCAGTCCTCCGGCAATGGAGCAAATGAATTAAATATTTCTTATTTTCCAGTGACTGAACAGCGGCCACCAGTAGCAGAGTGGAACACAGGGGGGCTGGCCCCAGTGGTCAAGACTGCTCCTCCACCAGTGGTCAAGGCTGCTCCTCCACCAGTGGTCAAGTCTCCTCCTCCCCCAGTGGTCAAGGCTGCTCCTCCCCCAGTGGTCAAGGCTGCTCCTCCACCAGTGGTCAAGGCTGCTCCTCCACCAGTGGTCAAGCCTGCTCCTCCCCCAGTGGTCAAGGCCGCTCCTACCCCAGTGGTCAAGGCTGCTCCTCCACCAGTGGTCAAGGCTACTCCTCCCCCAGTGGTCAAGGCTACTCCTCCACCAGTGGTCAAGGCTACTCCTCCACCAGTGGTCAAGGCTACTCCTCCCCCAGTGGTCAAGGCTACTCCTCCACCAGTGGTCAAGGCTGCTCCTCCACAACTCTCTACCACACTATACCGAAAAATGAACATAATGCTTTTTATTTCATTTAATTAACTCTGTGGAGGTTAATGTGGCGGTGAAGGTGTGATAACGGGTGAAACAAGCAATAAAAGGAACCATGACCATTGTTAGTGGGAGGGTTAGTGTTAGAGAAGAGGGTGTGTATACTTCTTCATAACTTCTTGTAAAAGAGGATAACGTTACTAATGTTTTGCCTTTTAGGAAGGGACACAAGTAATTCTATATGTGACCTCGTGAAAACTATGGAGTGAAGCTGCTTTAATGAGAGACATTTCTCACTTCTCTACCTCATCTGATTAATCACGCGGGTTTAAATGACTACATTGCCTCAAAATGAATTTCATTGCTATATCACACCTCTGTGATTTCATATATATATATATATATATATATATATATATATATATATATATATATATATACACATTTTTGAATTTTTTTTCTTATGAAACGATTAAACTATGTATTTCATTATGTATAAGTTAATGTTCTTTTTAATTTGAGTTAAAACTAATGTAGATATATTCCCGAACCTAACCTAACCTAACCTAACCTAACCTAACCAAAACTAACATGACTGAGTCAATAATTTATGTTCTTAATATAATGTAATAATAATAATAATAATAAAAAATAAACCAATTTAAAGCAATTTGCTGCAAATTAAGAAAATCACTCAGCCTATTATGCAATATATATATATATATATATATATATATATATATATATATATATATATATATATATATAACTGAAAACTCACACCCCAGAATTGACTCGAACCCATACTCCCAGAAGCAACGCAACTGGAATTAATTGTTATGTACAAGACGCCTTAATCCACTTGACCATCACGACCGGACATAATGAGGTTGCATATTGTCCTGGGGACCATTCAGGCTTGTTCGCATATATATATATATATATATATATATATATATATATATATATATATATATATATATATATATATATATATATATATATATATATATATATATATATATATATATATATATATATATATATATATAAGCAGTTTTAACGCGCATACGACGTTGACAAGTGACTGGTGCCTAAGAAAAACTACTGTGATGTTATCTCACAGAGGCACCAAATATACCTCGCAATCATAAGTTCTACGCAAGAGAAACTTGTCTTTTAATTCAAAGAAAAATATATTTTGCATGGAGATTGATGGCCATCTGGCCCTTACTAGACAGGTGAAAGGTGTTACAACTCAATGCACTAGGAAATTGGTCTGCATAGGAGAATCTTCTGCATCTCTTAGATTCTTATAAGTGTGCAACACTTTGCCTCTCTCCAATTATCTCTGCAATGGATTTCTTCACTAGTAAATTAGAATCCCTGTCAAAGGACTTTTGAAACGTCGTTTGACCAAAAATCAAGACGGCAGGGCTACATACCTTGTGAGAATCATACTTAATAAGAACAAAACATTCTTTACACATACTTAATACACGCGATATGATAGTATACATCCAGGCACTTCAACACAAAAGACATATAGATGGCATATATGTATGTGTGTGTATGAATGCATTGAAATATATAAATACTATACAAATAGCGTCTTTAAGACATTCTATCTCAAGAATAAACACAAATAACAAATGACAGGTGCCACACGTGACAGAAACTAAGAGGTGCCAGCAAGAGGCCACCAGCGACACCATGTGACTACTGAACCACTCTTATAAGTCTTCAGATGGATTAACTGTTAACACGAACTGCCATTCAATAAATCTTAAATATACACTACTACACACGATTATCCATAAAAAAACTGATATCTTTAACTTGCTACAACCAAGATAGCTAACAAGTGATGTATAATAATAATTATAATAATAATAAAAATAACAATTATAATAATTTAAAAAATAGCAATAATATTAATAGCAAAATATTTTATTATTATTATTTTACTGGTGTGGCTGTGTGTCCACTCACAGGATAAATAACATTGTACCATAAACTTACCTTCCGTCGGAAAATATTAAATAAAAACAGACAAAAACAAAACAAACACACGAGGTCCCCGTCCCACACAAACACACAGATATCAAACTTAGAATTTACCTGGTGGAACATTTCCTTTTTCTTACGAAGTCGTTTTAGTGGTTTAGAGTTCCGAACTCGGCGCCTGGGACCTTCAGATGGTTTAATGTTCCAAAGTAGAAATATTTTATGTCATCACATAATTATGCGAGCAATAACCGCGTGAGAGAAGCGAGGGTGATGCTAAGTTTCACTTCCCAACAGGGAAACGTAGGATGTCTGCAGAGAGCAGAAGCCACGGCAGCAGCATCGGCGGCCAGACACTACAGCAGAGACATGTGGAGCAGTATCAACATCAGAAGTAGAATCTATACCAGAGGCATCAGAGGGCAGCGTCTAGAGCAGCATCAGCACGAGAGGGCAGCATCTAGAGCAGCATCAGCATGGGAGGGCAGCATCAGCACGAGAGGGCAGCATCAGCACGAGAGGGCAGCATCTAGAGCAGCATCAGCACGAGAGGGCAGCATCAGCACGAGAGGGCAGCATCAGCACGAGAGGGCAGCATCAGCACGAGAGGGCAGCATCAGCACGAGAGGGCAGCATCAGCACGAGAGGGCAGCATCAGCACGAGAGGGCAGCATCAGCACGAGAGGGCAGCATCAGCACGAGAGGGCAGCATCTAGAGCAGCATCAGCACGAGAGGGCAGCATCAGCACGAGAGGGCAGCATCAGCACGAGAGGGCAGCATCAGCACGAGAGGGCAGCATCAGCACGAGAGGGCAGCATCTAGAGCAGCATCAGCACGAGAGGGCAGCATCAGCACGAGAGGGCAGCATCAGCACGAGAGGGCAGCATCTAGAGCAGCATCAGCACGAGAGGGCAGCATCAGCACGAGAGGGCAGCATCAGCCCAAGAGGGCAGCATCTAGAGCAGCATCAGCACGAGAGGGCAGCATCTAGAGCAGCATCAGCACGAGAGGGCAGCATGAGCCAGGAAGGCAGCCATAGAGACTCAGCATCAACAACAACAACAATAACACACAGATGCCGCCAGGGAAGGAAATGCCTCAGGCTGAGAGGTCGAGGCTCCACTTGTTTATTTCTCTATTCCTTCTTCCTCAACTTATCCCTGATCCTTTTCTTCCAACACTCCTACAGAAGAAAGAGGAGGAGGAGGAGGAGGAGGAGGAGGAGGAGGAGGAGGAGGAGGAGGAGAGGCACAGAGAAGGAAGAGCAAGAGAAGGGTGACGAAGAAGTTAAGAGGACAATAAAGTTCATGTTAAATAAAAAACTGAAGTGATCAAAACAAGGCGAGAGATGAAGAAGATAAAGATGAATGCAACAATCTTAAATGCATTTTACTACTAAATGGCGGTGATTGTGAACTTACTGCAGTTACCCATTGTTAGTGTGTGCTTCCCTCTGTTGTCTCTTCTGTCACTATCCCTCCACGGTCTCGCTTCATGCAGGTCGGCGTTCAATCCCCGACAGTCCAAGTGGTTGGGGCACCATTCCTTCATCCCCCCGTCCCATCCCAAATCCTTATCCTGACCCCCTTCCCAGTGCTATATAGTCGTAATGGCTTGGCGCTTTCCTCTGATAACTCTCTCTCTCCCCCCACTCTCTCTCATCCTTTACTTCCTGTCCTCCACCCTCTTCTTCTCCACCCTCTTCTCCCGCCCCTTCCATCCCCCAGTACCCGGGGGATGAGGTCGACGGAGGGGTGCGGACACGAAGCATAGACCGCACGGGATGCCAGGCCGAGCGTGTCGAGGTGTTTTTTGCTGTTCCGAGCGTAGCAACGGGCGACCTATCAACAACCCATGACCCTGAGGTGAAGCTTGACACACACGCACGCACTCACACGCACTCACACGCACGTGCGTTCTGCTGTTCCAAACTGTCAACAATGCTACTTTGCCTTTATTATTTATAGTATTTGATCTTACGTGTCGGTTTACTAGTTGTGTTTTTACGGGGGTTGAAATTCAGCTCTTTGGTCCCGCCTCTCAACTGTCAATCAACTGTTTACTAACTACTTTTTTTTTTTTTCCACACCACACACACACCAGGAAGCAGCCCGTGACAGCTGACTAACTCCCAGGTACCTATTTACTGCTAGGTAACAGGGGCATTCAGGGTGAAAGAAACTTTGCCCATTTGTTTCTGCCTCGTGCGGGAATCGAACCCGCGCCACAGAATTACGAATCCTGCGCGCTATCCACCAGGCTACAAGGCCCTATGTGTTATGTCAGACGTGTTGCTCCTCTCTGGCAGAGTGGCGAGGCTCGGTTCCCCGAGGCTTTGCTCGCAGCTCGGAGCCCCACACTTTGTGGCGTACCTTTGGACCATTTATAATCTTTTCTTGTCCTTTTGTCCGGTTAGGGTTCCATCTTCTTGAGATGATTTCGGAGCTTTTAGTGTCCCCGTGGCCCGGTCCTCGACCAGGCCTCCTTTCCTCCCCTCCCCAGAAAGCAGCCCGTGACAGCTGACTAACTCCCAGGTATCTATTTATTGCTAGGTAACAGGGGCATCTGGGTGAAAGAATATCAAATGTGTGTGTGTGTGTGTGTGTGTGTGTGTGTGTGTGTGTGTGTGTGTGTGTGTGTGTGTGTGTGTGTGTGTGTGTGTGTGTGTACTTACCTATTAAGGTCTACGAGGGCGTGAGGTCTAGATCTCTATGCCCCCGCCCACCAAACTGGTACATGTTGCGTCTTAAGTTAATTTCACTGACTTTAAAATTCTAAGTCGAATCGGGCCTTAAAGTTGTGGATGGAGGTGGTGAACAACTTCCTCTTTAAGAGCATTCCTCTTGTTAACTCCCCCTACAGGGTACGGGTACTTTCTTACGTCCCTTAGGCTCATTTGCGCTTCCAGTTTCAACCTGTGTCCTCTTGCTCTGCTTTCTCTCAGTCTGAAGAAGCTATTCTTATCCGCCGTATAAACTCTCTTCAGTATCTCGTAAGTTGTGATCATATCCCCTCTGTTCCTTCTATCCTCTAGGGTTGAGAGATTTAGTTCCATTAGCCTATGTTCGTAGCTTAGTCCTCTTAGCTCTGGCTCCAGTCTTGTTGCAAACCTTTGTACTTTTTCAATTTGGGCTTTATGTTTCACAGGTGTGGATTCCAGACCGGCAATACGTATTCCAATATTGTTCGAACAAATCATGTGTAGATTGCTTTGAAAGATTCCTGATTCAGGTTCCTAAACGATATTCTTGTATTAGCCAACGTTCCATATGCTGCCGATGTTATCCTGTTTATGTTTGCCTCCGTGGTGAGTGTTGGAATTAAATTCACTCCCAGATACTTCCCTCTCTCTGACTCCTGCAGCTGTCTTTTCCTGTATGATGTAGATGTCCTCTCTCTCCCTTTCACATCTGCATTACCTTACACATATTGGGACTAAACTCCAGCAACCAATTATCTTCCCACTCTTGGAGTGTCAAGGTCCTCCTGTAAGGTCTTCAATCTTCATCTGTTTAGACGTTCCTTCTCAGCTTTGCATCATATACAAACATTGACATGTCTGGGCTCACTCCCTCGGGTGTGGCCTTTGACAAAGGTTCACATCAATTAGGAACAGCAGTGGTCCAAGGAAAGAGCTCTGTGGGACCCCACCTGTTACATTCCTTCAGCTCGAAACCGACTCTGACTGACTCTCTGCTTTCTGTTCTTTAGATACTTCCTTACCCAGTTCAGTAGTTTCTCAGTTAACCCAACCTGAAGGGAGCCGGTCGGCCGAGCGGACAGCACACTGGACTTGTGATCCTGTGGTCCCGGGTTCGATCCCGGGCGCCAGAGAGAAACAATGGGCAAAGTTTCTTTCACCCAATGCCCCTGTTACCTAGCAGTAAAATAGGTACCTGGGTGTTAGTCAGTTGTCACGGGTTGCTTCCTGGGGGTGGAGGCCTGGTCGAGGACCGGGCCGCGGAGACACTAAAAGCCCCGAAATCATCTCAAGATCTCAAGATAACCTGGTTCTCCATCTTGTACAACAGTATCATGGGAAACAGTGTCAAATGCCTTTTGACAGTCAAGAAAAACACAGTCTACCCAACCTTCCTTTTCCTGTCTTATTTTATTAAACTTGTCATAAAACTCTATCAAGCTTGTCAGGCACGATTTTCTATTTCTAAATCCATGCTGATTTGTTATCACAAAGTCGAGCTGCTTCAAGATGTTCCACCAATCTCGACCTGATTACTCTCTCCAGCACTATACAATGAATACATGTCAATGCCACTGATCTGTAGTTTAATGCCTCCTCACTATCCTCCTTTCTTTGGAATATCGTGACTACGTTTGCTCTTTTCCAGACATTAAAATTATTAAAATTTTAGACAATGGGCAGCAAGGTACTTCCATAGCCTCCTGCAGCAGCCATGGGGAGATTAGGTCTGGCTCCATTGATTTTGTCACGTCAGTTCCCCCATGAATTTCTTTTCCACCGCTTCCACGGTGACTACAATGTCATCCAGTATTTCCTCTGGCTTTTCATCTTGGAACCTTGGTCTCCACGTTGGTTCTAATGTAAATACATAAAATCTTTCGATGAGTTTCTCGCTTATCTCCTTATCATTATGCGAGTTTGAGTGCGTGTGCACGCGCTCGCACACTCTAGACTGACAATTCTAGACCTGCCACACGACCCAGACCTGCCCCACAACCCAGACCTGCCACACGACCCAGACCTGCCACACAACCCAGACCTGCCCCACAACCCACACCTGCCACACAACCCAGACCTGCCACACAACCCACACCTGAGCCACACAACCCACACCTGAGCCACACAACCCACACCTGCAGAAAGTCAAGGCTCTCACGACCGTCCTAAAACCTGTAAACTATCTCTGTGATCCTCAGTGACAACATGTAGTTCCTCTCTCCCTCCCTCACCTTCCTCTCTCCCTCCCTCATCTTCCTCCCTCCCTCCCTCACTTCCCTCCCTCACCTCCCTCCGGGGGGCTGAGCCCTTATTAGGGCTAGGGGGGGGGGGGGGGTGTGGCCGGGGGGTAACCCTGACAAAAACCTTGAACCTGGCAGGAGAAGTTCTTGTTAAGACCCAAGGATGAAGCTGACAAACACGGCCGTCATTACGTTGAGCTGTGTGTGTGTGTGTGTGTGTGTGTGTGTGTGTGTGTGTGTGTGTGTGTGTGTGTTCATCTAGTTGTGCTTGCGGGGGTTGAGCTCTGGCTCTTTGGGCCGCCTCTCAACCGTCAATCAACTGGTGTACAAATTCCTGAGCCTACTGGGCTCTATCATATCTACATTTGAAACTGTGTATGGAGTCAGCCTCCACCACATCACTTCCTAATGCATTCCATTTACTAACAATTCTGACACTGAAAAAGTTCTTTCTAACATTGTAACACCACTATAAAATAAGTACTAAACTAATAATGTAATGTAACACCACTTATCCTGAGTAACACTTCCTATCAGTTACACTTGGTAACACTGTTATTGAACACTGTAATATGAGCTGACATATGATGGTTACACCGGAACCAAAAGGTACACTGCCAACAAGGAAATGCTACACAGGATTAAAAAACGCTGCCACCATCTGCCTTGACCATTGAGACTATATCAAGCAACGAGGCAAGAAACATTGCTTGACTTGGAGAGTACTTTCTATGACTGTCATTAATTATGGGACGGTTGTTAGCCACTATATCCAAAAGGCTAAGAGGATTCAACAATTGACGCAGACGGGAAATTTAACAAATGAGTTTATTGAGAACAAAATTATGTTAATCACCACTTATAAATCCTACTCTAACACTGGCCAAGAGTTAAGAAATTTAGACAAGGAACAAAACCTCAGAGATCACACACATTACCTTAAGACCTCTGTCTCTCCATCCGGTGGATTCACTCTGTCTCTCCCTCTGTGAGATGTTTTTCACAGACTCTTTCTCGACCCCGGTGTCCCGCACTCTCCCCTAAGTCTCTACAGGACCAATATATATACCCCAAAGGGGGAAGGGGGAGATTTGCTGTTGCTACCTACACCAAAAATGAAAGGGGGTTGGGCCACATGTGCAAAAACACTCAAGAATTTTCAATTAAGCTTGTTTGACATTCCCCATACACTCTTCAAGAGAGGAGTCATTAATTACGTGTATGACTGACCTCTGACCTGGCTAAAAGGGGGAGATCCATGGATGTTTACACATAAGAATCTGGGGTCTAATTTCATTGCAATGTTTGACAAGAGTATCATGAAATATTACATACTTGAAACTAGCTGACTAAGACTAACCCAGGAATTTTTTAATCAACATACAAGATAATCCGGAGGTCATCTGGGCTGACCTCTTGGAGAAGGCTTCCCTGGGTGTGAACTCTAAGGGGGGGGGGGTCATGCGTGTTACAGCTCACCCTAACGCCCCTGTTACCTAGCAGTAAATAGGTACCTGGGAGTTAGTCAGCTGTCACGGGCTGCTTCCTGGTATATGTGTGTGTGTGTGTGTGTGTGTGTGTGTGTGTGTGTGTGTGTGTGTGTGTGTGTGTGTGTGTGTGTGTGCGCGCGCGCGTGCGCGCGTGTACGTGTGTGTTGCATGGTGCTCACCAGATTAGAGGCTGTCGAGCCTTCTGGTTAAGAGAGGTCATTGAATCTCGTAATCACCTCCCTCTCCCTCCCTCCCCTACTTACCTACCCCTCCCTATCCCTCCCTTACATACCCCGCCCCCACCCCTTCCCCCCTCAAGACCCAAACAATCTTAACCACACGCAAAGGCGATAAATAAGAGGTGAAGCTCGAGTGATGTCACCAGACACAATTATCTCTGGGAGGGGCTGGCTGGGGGAAGGGGGGAGGTGGGGAGTGGTTAGGAGGGGAGGTGGATAGGTGGGGGGGGGGGGTGGATAAAGGGTGGTGGTGGATGGGTAGGGGTGGGGGGATAGTAGGAATGGTGGATGGATGGATGGTAGGGGGTGGATACGATAGAGGATGGATGGATGGTAGAGGGGTGGATAGGATAGGGGATGGATGGAGAGAGATGTTGGATAAGGAGGGGTGGTGGATAGGAGGGATGGTGGCTGAGGAGGAGTGGTGACAAGGAAAGGTAGTGGATGGGGAGTGGTGGTGAATGAGGCTAGGGACAGGTGGGGGACAGGTTGAAGGGGACGTAAGAGGGAAGGGCAGGAAGAAGAAGGAAGAGAGGAAAGGGGAAGAAGAGGTAAGGAATCTTTTGGTTAGCAAGAATCAGGTCTGATCTCAGAAAAGTATATAGAAAGCCTCATATTATCCTCACGGCGCGTTGATTGATTCACAAGTAATAACACATCGTTCCCCTCACCACTCTCATTATCACAAGACTTGTCAAAAAAAAAGGAATTCGAAGATAAAAGAGATAATATAACACAATCTTCAGAGGAGTGAAGATATGATCTAGAAGGAGAGCAGGCGAGTGTCTGCAGTATGAATCATTAAGGGTCTTTCGCCTTCTTAATTAGTATGTTGAGAGCCTCGGCTGAGACCACTGGAGACACAAACGCACCACTGAACGGTACAACAGGAGTCCCACACAACAGAGAGATACAACAGGAGTCCCACACAACAGAAAGATACAACAGGAGTCCCACAGTTACCAAGGAAGGGAACAAAAGAGCAGGAAAAGGAGGTTCAATCCCTAGACCTTTGTACATCTGATTACATTTATTCATATATATATGTATATATATAAAATATAAATATATATATATATATATATATATATATATATATATATATATATATATATATATATATATATATATATGTCGTACCTAGTAGCCAGAACGCACTTCTCGGCCTACTATGCAAGGCCCGATTTGCCTAATAAGCCAAGTTTTCCTGAATTAATATATTTTCTCTAATTTTTTTTTCTTATGAAATGATAAAGCTACCCATTTCATTATGTATGAGGTCAATTTTTTGTTATTGGAGTTAAAATTAACGTAGATATATGACCGAACCTAACCAACCCTACCTAACCTAACCTAACCTATCTTTATAGGTTAGGTTAGGTAGCCGAAAAAGTTAGGTTAGGTTAAGTAGGTTAGGTAGTCGAAAAACAATTAATTCATGAAAACTCGGCTTATTAGGCAAATTGGGCCTTGCATAGTAGGCTGAGAAGTGCGTTCTGGCTACTAGGTACGACACATACATATATACATACATACATATAAAGTTTTAACACTCCAACCTCAACCATTATGCTGGTGGACCTGACAACAATGACAATAATAATTTTAACTATCATTATCATATTTATGATAAGAAAAATCTTGACATCAAAACTATCACCCCCCCCCCAATATAAAGACCGGACCAACAACAACAACAACAACATCAAGAGCCAGCGCAGACTAACAAGGGTGTCAATAGTTCAAGGCGGAGGTGTACGTGGCCTTGACGGCAGACATTCATCTCTGCTGTAGTTACCAAAATAATTTATTGTTATTCTAAGTCTCAAATACCCACTCGAACAATCGGCCGCCAATTTCTTGTGATAGAGCTGCGAGACTAAATAGGCAAGACTTGGCTTCCAGGATTATATTGAAGACTCCGTCCGTTGACAAGTAAATTGGGTAACAAAGAGTGAGGTGAATGTCCCATATCAAGGTGACTGACTCGGAACTGTTGGTGTTACTGCTGACTGACCTTCACTACACTCCCGCCAGTGATTGATCAGTGACGTTAAACTCAGATTTATATGTGTCGTACCTAGTAGCCAGGGGCCAGATTCACGAAAACACTTACGCAAGCACTTACGAACCTGTACATCTTTCCTCAATCTTTGGCGGCTTTGTTTACAATTATTAAACAGTTAATGAGCTCCGAAGCACCAGGAGGCTGTTTATAACAACAACAACAGTTGATTGGCAAGTTTTCATGCTTGTAAACTGTTTAATAAATGTAACCAAAGCTGTCAAAGATTGGGGAAAGATGTACACGTTCGTAAGTGCTTTCGTGAATCTGGCCCCAGAACGCACTTTTCGGCCTACTATACAAGGCCCGATTTGCCTTATAAGCCGGATGATTTTCTTTATTTTCTATATATTGTTTCCAATTGATTTATTTTAAATATTATTATTGTATTATACTAAGAACATAAATTATTGACTTAGTTATGTTAGGTTAGGTTAGGTTAGGTTAGGTTAGGTTAGGTTAGGTTAGGTTAGGTAGGGTTGGTTATGTTCGGTCATATATCTACGTTAGTTTTAACTCAAATTTAAAAAAAAATAGCTCATGCATAATGAAATGTATAAATGAATTTTTTTTTATTATTATTTTCTACCACAGACGTGGCCACACATTTACAATGCTAACCAGCATATATACATTTTCTTCTGTCCTCCATGGACAGGGTTAGAGAAGTGTTAAACATATAGTTCAAGGGTTTATTGAACACTCAACCACAGAAGG